AGGCACGTAATGTAGGAGGTATATAATGTATAGTGTACTTACGATGTATCAGGGTTGATGTGGGGGATAAAAAAAAAGTTTTCCTGTATGTAGGTTTCAGATTCTGGCCCTGAGTGTCAACTGCTGTTGTCATTTGACATGTCAAGAATAGAGTTTTGCTTTCAAAGTTTTCTTTGGTATGTAATGGGGAGTATAGCAGGTAGTTGTGTTTGTTTACTGTTTGCTCAGGCTGTTCCTTTTATGCTTTTGTTAAAGTCTGATGCTTTGAGAGTTGGCCTGGCCTGGCCTGTTTTAAGTAAGCTTAATGTCTAACTCTTAATTGGTATCTTGCTAATTCTTCCTTGCTGCATATTTAGTTCATGTGTTATAGATTCGACTGTAATGCTTAAGCATCCAGTGCTAAGAAATGCCTCAAGGCTATTTATAAAGAATAATTGACGTTAGCTATAGCCAAGTTGTTCTTTAGCTATGTTAAATACATTTTTCCTCATAACCGTGACTGCATCCCTTTCTATGCCCACATTAGGTTTGTTGTATTAATTACCAAAAGCCACAGACTGAGATCGAGTGGGGCTTTATAGATGGTTATATGTGCACATGTAGGAACCTGTGTGCTTTAGGAATAAATTAGGGTACTGGAACATGTTCTGACACAAGTGGAAATTTTGGCCCTTCGAAATTGTTTTTAGACTAGACTACTCTTTGAGGTGAAGGCAGAAGAATGCATTTTTAAATCTGAATCTTTCTAGGCAATGGAGTCACTTCTGTACAATTAAATGGTGAAAGAGAGGGATCACCACCTCAACAGAATGAAGCTAGAGACCCTAATTTTTCAAGAAAAGAAAAGAAGGAAATACTGGTAGGTATTTAGGCTTCTAGGTGTTTTTTTAAAGTTGTCTCAACTGTTTTGCATGCGCAATGAAAAGGAGCGGGCACACTCTTTGGTATAGAAATAATGCTGGATGGCATCTTGTTTACTTTAAATCAAAGCACAGTTTTGCTAGATTGTCTAGTTGTGATACAGTCTTAAACTGAAGTCTGAGTCGGTATTTAATTTTCATTAGAAACTGACATCGTTGTGCATATGCAAGATTTATTTGCTTGTATTCACATACTTGAGAGACGTGTCATGAGAGCGAGGTGTGACAGGAGAGATGTAATGCATTGTACTGAGCAATGACTATTTAAGCAAATGAGGAAAATAAGGAATATGCAGAGTCTAGTTGGAGGTTAGTAACAAGTGGTGTCCCTCAGGGGTCAGTACTGGGCCCAGTCTTGTTCAACATATTCATCAATGATCTGGATGAAGGGATAGAGTGTACCATCAGCAAGTTTGCTGATGACACAAAACTGGGAGGAGTGGCTGACACGCCAGAAGGCTGTGCTGCCATACAGCGAGACCTGGACAGGCTGGAGAGTTGGGCAGAGAGAAACCTGATGAAATTCAACAAGGGCAAGTGTAGGGTGCTGCATCTGGGGAGGAATAACCCCATGCACCAGTACAGGTTGGGGGCTGACCTCCTGGAGAGCAGCTCTGTGGAGAGGGACCTGGGAGTCCTGGTGGACAACAGGATGACCATGAGCCAGCAATGTGCCCTGGCGGCCAAGAAGGCGAATGGCATCCTGGGGTGCATCAAGAAGAGTGTGGCCAGCAGGTCGAGGGGGGGCATCCTCCCCCTCTACTCTGCCCTGGTGAGGCCGCATCTGGCGTACTGCATCCAGTTCTGGGCTCCCCAGTTCAAGAAGGACAGGGAACTGCTGGAGAGGGTCCAGCAAAGGGCAACGAAGATGATTAGGGGATTGGAACATCTCTCCTATGGAGAAAGGCTTAGGGACTTGGGTCTCTTTAGTCTAGAGAAAAGAAGATTGAGGGGGGATCTTATTAATACTTACAAATACTTACAGTGGAGGGTGCCAGGGGGATGGGAGCAGTCTTTTTTCAGTGGCGCCCAGTGATAGGACGAGGGGTAATGGGCATAAACTTGACCATAGGAAGTTCCATCTTAACATGAGGAGGAACTTCTTTACTTTGAGGGTAGTGGAGCAGTGGCACAGGCTGCCCAGAGAGGTGGTGGAGTCTCCCACTCTGGAGACATTCAAAACCCACCTGGACGCTGTCCTGTGCAACCTGCTGTAGGTGCCCCTGCTCTGGTGGGGGGGTTGGACTAGATGATCTCCAGGGGTCCCTTCCAACCCTGACCATTCTGTGATTCTGTGCTGCCACCTGATAGCTTGCTGAAGGATTTGGCTGGCCCTTGGAAAGGAGATGAATCAGGGGCGTTCCCAAATGAGTCGTCCTCATATCCCAGACGTAGCCATACAGGCTTTGTGGTGTTCAGGGGGGAAAAATAGGGAGAAATGTAGATCGATATGCAAGCTGTTTGCCTGCTGGCCTCTGTAGCTCTGGCTTTCAGGGTACAGCAGCTTGGGTTTAATGTCAGACTTGAGCTACGTATGCTCGCGTGAAGCTGCTGCGATTGTGGAGGGAATGGAGTTTTACACCACCTGTAATCTGATCCAGCTGTGAGCTGAGGAAAGGGAATATTCCTGCATCCCTTTCTCCTCTTCCAAGTGGAGAATGCATTTTCCATCAAAGCAGCGAATGGCTTCCAGAGTGGTCACTCTTACCATGATGCAGAAGCGGGAATGTGAGATAGGAGAGTGTGGGACATCTGTAATTAGATCAGATTAAATGTAACATGAAACTGCACTCTTTGAGGGCTTCTTCTAAAGGTGAGGTTGGAAATGTCACTCTTTTGGGAGAAGTGAAGAGGAAATATGGCAGAAACGTTGGGTGCGTTTTTGTTTTAAGGAGGTGCCAGTAATACTGGCAGTACTTTGGAAAGTATGATTTCCTGAACTGCTTTGATCTTGGCACTTGAAATGGTGTGTTTGAAGTTTCCTGTGTTACCTGTAGAACGCATTTCTTCAGAAGCATGTATTTACTCGGAGGAATTGATACTGATACAGGACAGTGGGGCTAGTGCTGATTGATAGAATTTAACGCCGCTTGTAATGTTAAACAATTGAAAAATTGCTGCAATATCACTTAAACTTTGTATGCTGGATATGGCATTCTTTCAAGCATGACTGTAATGTGAAAATGTTGTGCTACAGACTAAGCGTTCAGGGAGGAGATATTAGGGAACCATAGTAGAGGTTTTAATGAAAAAATAAAACGGTACTAGTAGTTTGTGGTGTGTGGTTACTCGAGATACGTGCTTAGTTATGGAAGTGACAGTTGCAAGGGAGGTCTCTAGCCTAACCTCATGCTTAAAAATGGGACTGTAGCCCAAGCTCAACCATGGCTTTCAGATCGAGTACACGTGGCATTGGACACAGCGGAGTCTCCCAGTAGGTGCCCAGTGCCTTCCATTTAGTGTAGTGTAGAAATATCCAACACATCTCTATTTATTGTCTTTAAAAAACTGCAGGGAGGGTTTTGTATCTATTTCTTATGTAGATGTAAGTATTAGCTTTTTATTTTCTCCTAATGTAATTATGTTCCATTATTTATTGAGTGCTTTTAACAGCATTCTGAAAAAATTTTTTAGACTTGTATTTTGATTATGTGGTAGTGTGGGGAGAGAATGTGAATGTAAACATTTTAACTTTTGTTTTCTAGAAACCAATTAGTAACGGCCTTCCTCCCACACCTAAAGTACACGTGAGTATTACTGAGACACACAAATGCATGTGTTTTCTTACTAAAGCTGAGAGAGTACCTTTTTTGAAGGTTTGTAGTAATTAACAAAAAAATAAAAAGTAAAAACCAGTATCTCTTAGACATGTTTGGCCACAGGTATGGTATTTCAGAAATCACCCTTGATTTTTGTGCTCTTGAAGTAATTTTTGGGAGGTTTTTTTATTTGCATGCTTCATTAAAAAGTGAATGAGAGTTCTGCGACTCATGTCACAGAAGTACATTCAGCGTTCTGAAGGTAATTGCTGATCTGAGGAGCTGATACCTCTCAGGAACTGCAAATGGCTCAAAGTTTACCCTACGCAGCTCTAGGTTTGAAAACTTCTGAAGATAGGATTCGTAGGTGCCTTAGGGCTGGAAATAACTGTTACAGACATCTGTGTCCACCTTCACAACATAAAACAAACTAGAATTTCATTGTAATATGTGCACGGGCTTGTCACTGTGCTTTTAGCCAGCGCTGTGATGAGAAGAGCCAGTCTTTCCTTCTTCTGGACCATTTGTTTCTGCCCTCACCGCTCTCCTCCTCATGTGCTGGAGCGTGCATTCGTGTAGTTGTGCTGTGCACCAGATGGGGGATTCATTCTGATTTTAAACTAACCTTTTTTTGCTACGTTACTCCTAAGCCAGATCGGTTTCTCATCTTTAGACAAGAAAATAAAATTGCTACAAGGATGTGTAAGTGCAAGTGATTTTTTTTTTTACTTCCTACCCTTTTTAGAGAAGCAGGACAGGTTAAGATAGATGTCCTGCTTCTGTTCCTTGCGGAGCTCTGAATTCTTGATATGTTTAGCATCGTTTATTGAGGTGAATCCTATTTTGATGAACTAAATATTAAACTAAATGCATGGCCTAGAAGCGCGTACTTTAAACGAGTCGCTGACAGAGATTTGGAAGCACTCCATGCATTGAAAAGAATGAAATCATCACAGGGAGGAGGAAATTAAGTAGATTCAGTGACTGGAACGAGATAAAGGGGGTAGAAAATGAAATAGCTCAAAATGAAGTCATAGGTGTTGAGCTTCTGTGAGTTGCTAATATAACGAAGCTGTAAAAAGAGACTGACTAAAATAGGAAAATTTCTGAGCTGATCAAATGAGTCTGGGTATTGTACTGCTCTCTGCATATCCATGCATCTTTGTAGTGCACTAATTCTCTGGTTCTGCTGCTCCTCAGGGCAGACTCCTCCCTCTTCACACCCTACCTTTTACGTATAATAAATTTTCTAACCTTCCTGTTAAGTGTTGAAGATTGATTTGGCACTTACATGTTCCTCTCAGCCCGCTGTCTCCATCAGTTGCCAAATAACAACAATTTGAGTAAGGAGGGGGTTTTCTCCCGGGTCATTGGGATTACTGGACTTTTTAGTTTCCTCTATTGTAGAGCAACAGCACCCTGGTCTGTATCAGGAACAGTGTGGCCAGCAGGACTGGGGCGGTGATCATCCCACTATACTCGGCACTGGTGAGGCCCCACCTCGAGTGCTGTGTTCAGTTTTGGGCCCCTCATGACAAGAAAGACATTGAGGTGTTGGAGCGTGTCCAGAGAAGGGCAATGGAGCTGGTGAGGGGTCTGGAGCACACGTCTGGTGAGGAGTGGCTGAGGGAACTGGAGGTGTTCAGCCTGGAGAAGAGGAGGCTGAGGGGAGACCTTCTCGCTCCCTACAGCTCCCTGAAAGGTCGGGGTAGCGAGGGGGAGTCAGGCTCTTCTTGCTAGTAACAAGTGATAGGACAAGAGGAAATGGCCTCAAGTTGCACCAAGAGAGATTTAGATTGGATATCAGGAAAAATTTCTTCACGGAAAAGGTTATCAAGCATTGGAACAGGCTGGCCAGGGAAGCGGGGGAGTCGCCATCCCCGGAGGGGATTTAAAAGACGGGCAGACGTGATGCCTGGGGACACGGTTTAGTGGTGGTTTTGGCAGTGTTAATGGTTGGACTCAACCTTACAGGTCCCTTCCAACCTAGACAATTCTATGATTCTATGTTTTGCATCCTAACATCGCCTGGGAGCCTTATTTAACAATTATCCTGCTACTGCAAGTAAAACTTTGACAATCTTTGTCTTTTATGTTCTTTTTCTGTGGTGCATCATTATTCTGATTCTTGTTTGTTTGGGTTTTTTTGGATTCACGGTGGTTAAGTATGCTGCCGAGTGGTGTTTAGCGTTCTCGCTGACCTCTAAAATAGGTAGGTGTTCTGGGGCTCTGTTTAAAATTGTTTCTTTGCATGGTTGCCTGTGGCTCTAGATAGCTTGTGCAACTTTCTTAATAACCCACTTTGGTGTGTTTTTTCCTGCTGTTTTAGGTGGCTTGCAGCACAGGGAGACCCGTTAGATGTTACTAATGAGGGATGCCCTGCCTGCTGAAATTCCTCCAAGACTTAAATGCCTCCATGGCAGCAGTCGGATCAGGCAGCCTTGATTCAATTTTGGTTTTTGTGGGGTTTTTCCCCACTAGCAACTCAGTTTAGTAATTTGCTTCTCAGCTGTATCCTTGAGATTTGTTTGGTACTTCGGGATGATACCCTTGGGCTCTGTTTACCTTTCTGGGGCAGCATCTTGGCTCTGCAGCCTTCCTGGAGATTGTGGCTGAGAATCAGAGAATCATAGAACAGTTTAGGTTGGAAGGGACCTTAAAGACCATCTCGTTCCACCCCCCTGCCCTGGGCAGGGACACCTCCCACCAGCCCAGGTTGCTCCAAGCCCCGTCCAACCTGGCCTTGAACACCTCCAGGGATGGGGCAGCCACAGCTTCCCTGGGCAATTTGTTCCAGCGTCTCACCACCCTCACAGTGAAAAATTCCTTCCTGATATCTAATCTAAATCTCCCCTCCTCCAGTTAGAAGCCATTCCCCCTCATCCCATCACTACCTGCCCTTGTAAAAAGTCCCTTCCCAGCTTTCTTGCAGGCCTCCTTCAGATCCTGGAAGGGGCTGTAAGGTCTCCCTGGAGGCTTCTCTTCTCCAGGCTGAACACCCCCAACTCTCTCAGCCTGTCTTCATAGGAGAGGTGCTCCAGCCCCGAGTATCTTGGTGGCCTCCTCTGGACCTGCTCCAACAGGTCCATGTCTTTCTTATGTTGAGGGTTCCAGAGCTGGACGCAGCTCTGGGAATGGCCAGAGGAAAAGGATTAGTCTTTTCAGATTTCCATCTCCTCCTTTCTTATCCAGCTTATCACTGCAGACCTCAAGTAGGTCTCAGCAGTGAGCACAGCTTCCCTCCACTGTGCATCGTCTCTCTTCAGTGTGTGGAAAGGGTCAAGGAGAATTGCACAGCTGGTTACAGGAGCAGCAGAAACACTTCCCAGTATTCTGGGAGGTCAGCGCTTCGAGTGACAGCTGGTGTATTTGCTGTTGAGTGCCTTTTGGTGCCCTGTGCACTTGGGAAGAGGTTTCCATAAATCCCCCCAAATCCCTTTATTGTTTTTCTTGATATTGTCCCTCCTTCAGACTCCTCGTTGCCAAGGGATTTTACTACATTGAAGCTGTCAGTCCCTTGAGGTCACTCTATCAGGATCTTCTCATATTCCTGCCTCACGTGTTTCGCTTCTTACTTCTGTTCTTAAACCTGCAGAAGGACCATCTTGTTGTCTGGCAAGCAGCCGGCTCCGTGCCTTGGTACTCAGCCTTCTGCAGTGGTGCTAGCAGTGCTGACGTCTTTCCCCTCGTCTTTGTGCCATGGGGTCTTTCATGTTTTGCTGATTACCTTGATGAATTTGGTTCTTCCCTCACATAAGTGTATATGGACAAAGTCATGGACTTCATTATAGTGACGCAAGAGTGAGAGATGTCCGAAGCACAAAGAAGGGTCTAATTTCTGCTGCTTTTCATTTTAAAGGGTTAATTACGAAGGTTTTTTTCTTTTATTTTCTTATTAACCTAAACGATGTTCAGAAGTGGCTGAATTGTCTGCAGACTTTCTTAGTCAGCAAGAGGTTAACCGAAAAAAATATCTCCAAATGTTAACATGAGAGCCTTCTGGTTAATTCAGTTTATAGGTTGACAATAATTCACAAAGTATTACTGTAAAGTGGAAACTGCCATTCTGTAGCTGTATTACAGAGTGTGCAGCTCTGCGTAAAGCTGATGCCTGCGCGTATTCAGGATGGCCGCCCTTACCCGGGACTGGTTATTATGTTTGAACATTATTTGATAAATGGTAACATCTCACTTTACTGATTGTTGTTTACGACTACATCTTTCCTTTTCATCTACAGTACTATCCATCAACTCTGTTTCTTAACAAAATAGGGTGGGTAATTGTTATGTTGATGACTGAGGGGAAAGGAGGAAGCCCTGGCTTTTGCTTTTGTGTCATTTTGAAGCAAATTTACTAAGCGTTCTTATAAATGTCTACAAATGCTTGTGCTTCACTAGGAGAAAGATGAAGAGATTGATTATATTATACTACGCAAGACACTAAATAGGCAAACCAAGTTATTAGGGTTACACTGATCGAGGAGTGGGATCTTCTACCAGAGGTTTCCCTTTGGGAAGCAGTCAATATTGAAAATGAATTAATTTGAAACAACTAATAGAGTATCTGAGACAAAAGGTTTGATTGTTGCATGACTTAGAGCTTTATTTTAAATGCGTGAGACATGGCAAGAATAAAGTTTCTCTGCTGAGACTTTCTAAAGTCACAAAATTCAGGAACCTTTTTGAGGTTTTTCACCTTTGTGGGACGTATGTGCTTGGACTGTTAATTAAAGAGCCAATTCTGGTATGTTTGTTCAGAAAGGTCTTAACAGGAAAAATCAGTTCCAAAAAAATCCCTTTTGTCAGCTTGGCTGGATAAGGTTCTTTTCCAGGTAGCAAATGAAACTACTCTGAACCTTTTGTTACTACTTCAAGTAAAAATAATCCTATTGGAAATGTCACATTTTAATTTTTCATCTGTATATTTTTAATTGTTTTTACTTCTACAGATGGGTGCTTGCTTTTCAAAGGTTTTCAATGGCTGTCCATTAAAAATTCATTGTGCAACATCGTGGATAAATCCAGATACAAGAGGTAGTATATTACGTATATTTTACCCACTTTGTCCTCTCCTTGGATTTCAAGAGTGCTAAGATGAGCAAGATTGTTCCTTTTAAAACAGACATATTGTAAAATAGGTGTATATATCTAAGCAGAAGTTCTTCTTTAATTATGCCACTGCTATCAGAAGTTCAATGTTGGTTTTTATTAATTATGTTAAGATATATGGGGTGCAGGTTTCAGCTTTGGTTAAAAAGAATAAATTACATATCAAAAGTAACAAAACTTTTTTTTGTTTTGTTCTGATTCAAGACTCTTCTCAACATTTTAGTCCAAAAGATGCCAATACTAATTTATTTTTCAAAAATCAGACTTCTGGAGGTCATAGTTAAGATTGATTTCATTATCATTCCCTTGATTATTTTTTTTATTTTTTTTTTTCCTCCCCCCTAAATCTTTCTGGTCGTACAGGTTAATGCAACTCTTTTTATTTTTGCATGCATTTTAGTGCTTTATTAAATAGCCTGATGAAAGAGATAATTGGTAACATTGTACTCGCGTTGCCTGCGATTTCACCTTTTGATTATAGGCTGTATGTGCTACTGAGCCACTAAGCAAGAAAACACTTTGGTTTTTCAGAAACTGAAATTATGGAAATCGGTCTTTTGCAGTTGACATCTTCTCAATATGAGATGTCTGTCTTGTTCACGTGCCTAAATGCAATCCAGGGTATTAATTATGTTCAAGAAGTGAGGCAGCCCCCAAAGTACTGAGAAAACGTTCCAGTCAATACTGCTGCTGAAGTCCTCCAAAGGAAAGCTGTGAATATGTCACAAAATATATGGAAATGCCTAAGTAGGATAATCTACATCTGAGGAAATTATTCACATGAATTCTTGCTTATGGTTATATCACTGCTGGTTTTTATTCCAATTGTTAGTCACAAAAAAAAAAAGACTGTTGTTTCTTAATGTCTTGAAACAGCCCTATCCACAAATTTAAGCTTCCTTAGCAAGATTAATTTTCCATGCTTTCAAACACCGCAGCTATTATAGCTTGGTTTGTTTCAATGCGTGCAACTGTTTTAATTCTTTTTTTGGTAAAGAGCTGCGTACTGTTACAAAACATGCCTTCCTTAAATCAGGATTTCTAGATTTATTTTTGTTTGTTTGTGTTTGCAGATCAGTACTTGATATTTGGTGCAGAAGAAGGTATTTACACACTGAACCTCAATGAACTTCATGAAACATCAATGGAGCAGGTATATTCCTGGTTTGATATTTCGGAAAAAAAATACCTCTCACTTTTGTAGCCACTTGGATTCATGTTGTGTAATCTGGGCAAAAATTGTTTTTACTACAGTTACAGAGGCACTAGCTACACTGAGAATTACTGAAATGCATACCCTTGAGGATACCTTACTTTTATTGTAGGCTGGACCACGTTTAAGTAGGAGATCTGCATATATCAACATGTTGAACTTTATTATAGTACATTGTCTTGCAGTTAAGTGTTTTGTTAAATAGTATGGAATTTTCCTCTTATATTTTGGGTGAAAGTTTCTAATTTTTTAAAAGCTTTGTTACAAGCTAGCTTATTTGCGACAAACGTTGTGTTTCAGCTACAGGGAAGCAAGGAGATCCTTTATACGCTACATTCCATTCTTTTGGTCTTAAAAGCAGCTTTGCTGATGAGACTCAGCATACTGAATCCCAATTAAAACTCTGTCTTTGCAGAATCTTATAAATAGTACTCTTTTTTTTTTTTTTGAGGGGATAGTGGGGAGGGGGACATGCCAATTGCAGGCTTTTCTGTATGGTGTCTTCTCCAGCTCTTTTGTTAATCTCTGAGACTTGTTTTCTTTCCTGCCTTCTCCCTAACTTAGGGAGCTATGCATCTGCCATCAAGATGGAGGAATTTGCAAGGACAGCCTTCACACTGTAAGCTGGAGGCACTGGTGTTTGTTCATCTTCCAGGGTCCAGACGTTGTAGACATGTCTGTTGTGTTGAGAAGAAGGCCTAGCTAGCTTGCACTGAGCTCCGTGTAACCCATAATCGTACTGGTGCTTGAGTTAGCTGGTTTAAACTTAGCTCAGGTACCTCTCTGCTGCTACATGGTGGTTGTAAAACCTACCCTGAGAAACAGCACTAATACAATAATTCCCGTAGGCCAGGTAGACCAAGGAAAGTTTTGTTTGTGGTTTTTTTTTTTTCTTTCTTTTGGGGGTTTTTTGTTTTGGTTTGGTTTGGGTTTTTTTTTTTTATTGGCCAGGAGAATAGGTGTAATGAAACTCATGCTGTCGTATCCATCCTTGTTTTCGCTAAGTACCGTGTTCTGTAGTGCCTTGCCTAGTGAGCTTTTAGGGAAATGTTTTAATAAGCACTTAGAGACAAGAAAGAGATGCTTGTAAAAGTGGCCAGTCCTGTGTTGAACAGGGGGAGTGAGTGACAGGTCAATCACCCTGCAAATCTGAAGTGTTGCTGTTCTTCTCGAAGCCTCACATCCAAACATACTAAGTCACAACATGCTTATACAGCTGCAGAAGGTGACTCAAACTCTCACATTAAATTTGGGTACAGCCAGGCTGGTAGATTATTACTGTAGTTCTTTCTTACAGCAAGTTTAGGTTATGAGAAGACTTCGGGAATAGAAGTGCACCTTCTGTGCTAACCATTTATTACACCATTTTTATGGTCACAGGCAATAGGGCTCTAATAGCATTTTCAAGTTCTGTGTTTCACTTCATTTTTTACTCACTTGGTCTGATACAGTTCAGTGTAAAATCAAAAGTAGTATCCTTGGTTATTTTTCACTACATTCCACTTTGCTAATGAACAAAGCAGTAATAACATACGTTTCCAGGAGTTAGGACAGCTTCTAGATTAATCTCTCTTTGGCAGAAAAGTCTTTCAATTAATTTACAGATCTCTTCAAATCTTTCTCATAAACCAGCAGTGAGGTTGTTGGGGGTTTTTTTTGTTGATTGGTGGGGTTTTTTTTGGTTTGGGTTTCTTTTTAAGAGCAAAAGAAATGTCCTGCCAAGTGGTGTCTCTAGCCCAAAAGACTATTTCCTAAAGTGGCAGTAGGAAATGCCTCTGAGCTTGGCCACTGTCTGCTGTCCATTCTCAGACTCCACTATAGTCATTGAGTCGGGGACGTGGGAGGATCCCTGCTTATTTGCTTTTTGTGTCCATTTATGGACTTGTTGGACATGAGTATGTCTAATCCCTCATTCACGCTGTTGATACTTTCCACCTCCATGACCTCTTCTGGCAACAAGATCCAGAAGTTATGTGAAAGGGAAAAAAGTACCATCATTTGTTTTTAATCTTCTTTTCTTTTTTATTTTAAGGATGTCTTGTTGGTTTCGGCCCCATCTTTCTAGTAATTGTGGGATCTGACAAATAACAATTCTGTCTTGACCATTTGTTGCATTCTTTGATCACTTAAGTGAAATGTGTAATCATATGCACATGGGCAGTCCCTTCAAGTGCCAGTTTTAATTGTTTCAAGAGATTTGGACTGTCACAGGCTTTAGAACGGCTATGGTTTGTTGACCGTGCTTTGTTTACTGAAGTTTGTTGTTAAGCTTTTCTCCTTTGAATGAGAAAGCTTGGTAGGTTTTAAAATTTTTGAAAAAGAATGGATTGATCTTTATGATGACATCTTGTGGGCTAATTATAGTATACTTGAAGACATGAATATAAAATGTGCTAATTGTCTAAATGTTAATGTGTACGTTAAATATAGTGTGTGTGCCTAAGATTTACTCTGAATTAACTCTGCAATCCAGGTAAACATTACTTGGCTTAAGCTAATTTCTGCTACAAAAAGCAAGACAATATTAGTTTTGTCCTGTCGTCTATAGCAGATATTAATTGGTCAACTTAATGTGCTCCCATTTTGTATATATCAAATTGAATGCTTTTCTTTCTTTGTTTTTCCTTCCCCTTATCAGCTATTTCCCCGAAGGTGTACATGGTTATATGTCATGAACAATTGCTTGTTATCAATATCTGGTAAGTTACTGTGCTGTCTTTGCATGGTAGTGCTGGTAAACATTTGGTTTCGTATTTGAAGTGTGGTTTTGTTTTCTAATTTCTAGGTAAAGCTTCTCAGCTTTATTCCCATAATCTGCCAGGACTCTTTGATTATGCAAGGCAAATGCAAAAGTTACCCGTTGCTATTCCAGCACATAAACTCCCTGACCGAATACTTCCAAGGTAAATACACATCATCAGATAGATCAGAAGATCTGAATTCTGGGAGTTCAGAATATGGTTGTGAAACTCTGGGAATACCAAAGAACGTGGAACTCTGTTCATAGATCTCCATGAATAACTCATATGGGCATTCATCAGAGGGTAGAACCCTAAATTTAAACAAATCAAGATATGAATATACTCTTAGTAGAGAAATGGGGTTTGGTACATCATCTTGTCATGAATCCTCTTGTTTCTGGGCATAGCTCTTTTCAGGTATGGTCTAGTATGGTAAATCCTGGTTGTACTTGATGCTAAACAAAATCTAGGGTCAGTATTGTACCTGTGATATTTCAGGCAATTAGAAATGGTGATCTTACATTATTTAACTCTGGGCCCTATCTTTCCAGTCTATTTTAAAAAAAAGAGGGGGGAAAAAAAAAAAAGAAAAAAGTGGGGGTGTGTGATCTCTCACAGCAGAGGGAATCCTGGACTGCTCACAGGTTATTTTGAAAGCTGGGAAGAGTAGAACCGGAGTACAGATAGGACACTCATCATTGGCAAGTCATTTTTTGCAGGCCAGTGCAGAAGGTATTTGGCCCCCGATGCCCACAGCACATTGTGCATGCGGTCCCTCCAGCTGTATTGACTAACAAGCGCATGCCAAATCCCGGAGACTGAGTATGGTGCTCGCTGCCAAACAAGCCTTTGGAGCCCCTTGAAATCCAAGAGGGGGAGGTAGTAACGCTAATCTCGTTTGCAGAGAAACCTTTGATTCTTCAATTGCATAATGAATCACTGGTTCTTCTCATATAATTGGCTTTCTGTTAGGATATTGTATTTTAGAAGACCTGTTTCTCTGCTACCTTTGGTTCTGTTAACAGCCTATTAACATTTAGCTCTTGGATTCTGGAAAGGCGTCTTGTTCAGTCATCTGCAAACATAATGGTGCAACACTTGTCTGAAAATTGTGTTCTTCCTAGAGGCTAAATTCTAATTACCTAAGAGGTAATTTGCGCTTTGGATTGTTTCCTTCTGTGTGTCTGCACCATTGTCCTGCTCTTCTCTCTTCCAAACTACCTTTGTCAGGGTGGCTTTGGCTTGAGGACTGCATCAGCAGCGAACTAATAACCGTAATTATCATAAGAGTCTTAGGAGGAAAATCTTCAGACTACATTCAGCCTGGAATGACACCTCACCTAAGTTGCAAAGGGGACAGAAAATTTCTTGTCCAGTCATGTCACTCCCCAAGAAAAATGCAGCACAACCTGAACGTGCAGAGCGCCAAGCCAGTCATTCAAAGGCAGGAGAGATTCATTTAGGTAATCCATTTTGCTGGTTTATTCCCTGTTGTAAAGCATCAGGGGAGCAATATTTAGCCAGGCAGAAGTAGTACATTTGAAGTATGTAGGAGAGCATAATTATTTTTTTTTTTCCTACCAGACCACAAAGTGTATTCTTCAGCAAGTTCCTGGATTCCGTGTTGATGAGTGCTACATGAAAAATGTAGATATGTTAAAAGCCAAGTTTTCTGTAGAGAAAAGGCAAAGCAAAATAGAATTCAAAGCAATTTGTGACATTCGTATATTCATCTGCACAATGGTCTAAGTTCAGTTTGTGATACTTGGTAGGCAGACATTCGGTAGCAGAAAAGATGTCTGCGCTAAGCCTCCTTTCCAGCTGCTTTCCCTTGAGTGCCCTTGAGCCGTTCCTTTCAAACCTTCCCTCACTGCTTCCCACCAAAATTTGTGGCCAGCACTCAGTTTTCGTGTTGCTCAGGCCTGATGCATTATCAGTCAGCTTCATCTGAAATGCCATGCAAGTATTTTCCCAGTTCATAGCTTTGACTGCAGCATCTATCTATCACTCCACTTATGCCCATTTTTTTTTCTACAGCATCAGATTAGTTACTTTTATGCTTAAGGCTACTGTGGCCGATCCCATACTGTCTGTCATCTTCTAGTCTGTATAGAAACGCCGATTCCCACTACCAGCAAATAACATCTTCCCTGGCTTTACCTGATAACTTTTCAAGTAATTGTTTTCATGATTTCCCAGGGAGTGTCCCCTGCAGACGAAAAAGATCTTGCAAACCTGCCTTCCAGTCCTCCCTCAGGCCTCCTCTTGAAATGCCTGCTGTGCTGCCTATGAAAAGTTTTGCAAAACTTAAGCTCTTAGTTTGCAAGGACCGTGGCCCAGTACAGCATCGTTTCCCGCACCCCTTGGGTCCGCGTGTCGTGTCTTGGAAATACAACGTCCTTGGGACAAGAGTGGACTTTCTGTTGTCTGTGTAGTATCCAGCAGAAGATGCAGTTAGTCAGAGCATTACAAAGAAGAATAGTTGTGGGAGTACCCAGGCATGTGTATAAATAGGCATAATTAAATAGCAAGAGATAGTGGTAAATGACGCTTGAAGGTACTGAGGTACCTATTCCTCTCCGTTCCTGACTTTTAACTGCGCTCGTAATGCCGCATAACCGAGCGGCATCTCAGCACTACCAGAGGGATCACCATGTATGTTCTAGGCAAATAATTTTGAGAAGAAATACACAAATAAATATATTTTTGGTTTTTCTGTGGCTCAAATATAACTTTCCCACCAACAACTCTCTAAAAAGCAAATCTGTTAAATTGTTTTAGTTGATCAATAATTCTGTATTTATGTCTTGTAGGAAGTTTGCAGTGTCTACAAAAATTCCTGACACTAAATGGTGTCAGAAGTGTTGTGTTGGTAAGTAAAGATCTGTGGAATAAATGCCAAAAAGCAGTACAAATGGTGGTGGTATTAAGATTGCTGAGTTGGGTTTAGGAGGTGAAGAGAGAAGAGGCTTTTGTCATTATGATGAAATTATGCATTTGCAGCTCGATCAGGTTAGTCCTTGCATTTAAGCAGTGAACACTCTCCCATTTTGTTCTTTTAAGACAATTCTCAAGAAATGCAGAGAAGCAGAATGCATGTCAAATTTAAACCTAATCTCCATGGATGGAGCAGCAGAAAGCAGTCATCGTCGGGCTTAAGCCTGACTTCCTAGCACAAGTTCCAGTTATTAATATTGGATGGCAAAAAGCAAGGAGTATTTTCGATTCTTTGAGGACGGTGTTGTCTCTGAAGCCTTTATGGTGTGTTCAACGCGCCAGCTACTGAAGTGTCAAAGCGTGTAGGTCCAGGCCTTGCCCTGATTGAGGCACCTAGGCAAGCTGTGAGTGTCGACGGATGCTGAAGGCACCAGCCGAAGGAGGGGAGTGGCAGGGATCAGCGTAGGTACAAACGCTGGCTTTCTGATGCAAAAATTAACTTGGAAGTCCATACGTTTTCAGGTCGGTGTTTATGAAATGAGAAACCCGGTGTTGTCCTCCTCTGTCATCTTACGGCACCAAATTTAACAAGAGTGCTGTGGGACCTGGCACGATGAGGGGGGACTTAGCTGTCCTGGCATTCAGAGAGAGCTTAAATAAGCCCATAGTCCTCCTTGCGTGATAGGCGTAAGTGCTAATTTATGATGGCGACAAGGGCAGCTGCAAAAGGCAGGTCCAAGGGGAGAAATGATGGATTCCCCCTCTCCTGCCCTACTTACTTCGTGCAGCCTGACCCTCTGTTCCTGCTGGTAGCAGGAGTATTCCTTGGAATACTTCCCTGCGGGACGTAGCAGTGCCACAGGAGGCAGAAAAAGGACGAGAACTTCTGATCTTGTTTCTCCACCTTCCAGGTGGAGGTAATTGCATGGTTTTTTGGTTTCTGGTGCTGAGTTCAGCCTTACTAAGGGTCACGCCAAGCGTTATTTGCTGCAGTTTGCAGTTGGTTTGACTGATGTTGAGTGGGAACCTGATTGATGAAATTAAGCTTTGATGTTTAAGGTGCCAAGGGATTGCTAGTGGATTTCCAGGGCGAGGGAGGGCATTCTGTCCCTCTACTCCACTCTTGTGAGACTCCACCTGGAGTACTGCATCCAGGCTGAGAGAGTTGGGGGTGTTCAGCCTGGAGAAGAGAAGGCTCTGGGGAGACCTTACAGCAGCTTTCCAGTATCTGAAGGGGGCCTGCATGAAAGCTGGGGAGGGACTTTTTACAAGGGCAGGTAGTGATAGGACGAGGGGGAAAGGCTTCAAACTGGAAGAGGGGAGATTTAGAATAGATATTAGGAAAAAAATTTTCACTGTGAGGGTGGTGAGACACTGGAACAAATGGCCCTGAGAAGCTGTGGCTGCCCCATCCCTGGAGGTGTTCAAGGCCAGGTTGGATGGGGCTTGGAGCAACCTGGGCTGGTGGGAGGTGTCCCTGCCCAGGGCAGGGGGTGGAACTAGATTATTTTGAAGGCCCCTTCCAACCCAAACCGTTCTATGATAGTAAATCCCACCTACCTCTCTAAAAAAAAACAAAAACCCAAGCAATTAACTTTATTTTGAGTTGAAGAGTTGAAACAGTGCTCTTGGGAGAGTTACGTTTATTATGGTTTATTTGGCAGCAGCTCCTAGCTGTTCATGCCCGGTGGAAGGGCAGTCCCTGCTCCAGCATGCTCACTGTCACCATTCTCATAGCGTGGATGGTGACTTTTCAGCAGCTTCCTTGTATAAAAGATTCAGGTGGTGGTGGTGGATATTTTCCAAAAGTGTATGGACTGTTATTTAGCTGGAAATTTTTTATAATTTGTGTTTGCATAGTACACTAACGTACTCTACCTCTCCTTTTTTTGGCAGTGAGGAATCCCTCCACGGGCCACAAGTACCTTTGTGGAGCACTACAGTCTAGCATTGTTTTGTTAGAATGGGTTGAACCAATGCAGAAATTTATGTTAATCAAGGTAATATTAATGATAAGGTGAAATACTCCCGTGTTCAGTTCTGTTTATCTGATAATGACTTGTTAAGAATAAGTATTGGCCATTTCTTGAGTTATTAGACTTTCCTCTCGGTTTCTCTAAAATTGAAAACAGCTATTTAAATGTGTAATATGTATTAACCGGCTCAAAATATTTATAGTCATGTTCTTGGTTTTGGGGTGTGCTTCAGGTAAGGAACAAAGCCCGTCTCTCTGTGAGGACTGCCTTTTAGTTGCACGGTAAAAAAACCTCTGGCGGACAGACTGAGACACGGTGCAGTGGAGCGATAACATTCTGAACAGCGGGCTTGCTCCCATACCAGAGAGAAGGCGGTCCCTTATTCTATGCATTGGGACAGTGGAGGTGCCCAGAAATGCTTGTTATCTCCCCGTCTGACACTACCTGAAGCAACGGAGCCGGGGTGGACTCATGTTTGTAGAGAGGCAGCTGCTATAGCTTGATCAGGGCTGGGGAACGAGGCTGAGAGACTCCATAGCCAGGGAGAGCGAGCAACGCCACCTGTAGCACTCTTGGCACCTGCAGGCAGCTGCATAGGACACCCGTGATGAAAGGCATCCTACCTTATGTAACTCCATTGGCGCGAAGACTCTTTAAACTTCTCAACTTGGGCTTTTTGTGTCTATTAATTACTGTTGTCTGAAGAAGTAAACTTCATGTTACAAAATACATGGCATAAAATTTACCATACAGTTTAGTCTGAGTTGCTATTAACTATTTAAACTTGTTTCCCTTCTAATATCTATTTTTGTTTCTTTATCTAGCACATAGATTTTCCCGTACCTTGTCCACTGAGATTGTTTGAAATGCTGGTAGTTCCTGAGCAAGAATTCCCTTTAGTTTGTGTCGGTGTCAGTCGAGGAAGAGACTTCAACCAGGTGGTGAAGTTTGAGACCGTCAACCCAAATTCTACCTCTTCATGGTTTACAGAAACAGGTTTGTGTGGTGTTGTAATTGCATTCAGAAATGTTCCTCGCTCTTCTATTACAGCTGAAGCACTAGAATGGTAGTTTCTTCTGAGGAAACTAAATGGTTAAATCATTACGGCTTGGCTAAGTGATCATTGTAAGTTCTCCGTTTAAGGGGGCATCTGATTGTACCTGCTTGCACGTACACTTTTTTTTTGGATGCTTCTACTTGTTGAACTGATTTGATTTCATGAGATAGAGCAGAGGGTGGAGTTGTGGCTTCGGGCATTTCCCTAATCAGGCTGTACTTGACTATTACCCATTGTGCTGTTCTGTGCTCTAGCCTGGCACCGTGACTTTCGTTCATTTAATAGATGTTAATCGAATTGCACTCTGAGCGATTTCTTCCAGCATCGCTGTAGGTGTAGTTTGGCTCTCCTGCAGCAAGCCGGAGTTGTTAGAAATGGTGTTAGCAACCTCCTGCTGAGGGGGAGCCTTTTTTTGTTCTTCCAATGTTTATGGAAAGCGAAAGGGATTAGGAGCGCTGGTAGCAGGAAACCAAGTACCAGTCCGTCACTGGTCTGGGTGCTGTGAGTGAGGAGGCCACCACCTGAGCAACAGTAGAAATTCTCTTAAGAAGGAAGCATGCTAAGAATTACTTTTCTAGAGTTGCGAGATTTCCCCCCTAAACCTAGATACAGAAGTGAGCTGACAGTAGTCATAGCTTGCAGGTTTAGAAGCAGTAAATAGCTTTGTTATTCCTAGGCACAGAGCCCTTGTTGATCCACGGTGAATTTATACGCAGCCCTGTGCTGCCATATATGTGTGTATGAGTCTGGCTGATTGCGTACTGCGGGATTCACTACCAAGTACAGTTTTCACTAGGAAGATACCTGCTGGCTTTCTTGCTGCTGAAAAGCACCTCAGATTTTGACCGTTTAAAGCATAGTTACAAAAAGCAAAGTGATCAGTGGATGGCCAATTGATGTACTTAACTACTTCAGAGTTAGCACATTTTATTTTCAAACTCGTACATCTTTTTGTGTAACTGTGTGACTTCAGTAGAGCCCATAAAAGCAGCATGCTGAAGAGAAATTCTTTGAGCTGTAATGTCCTGGTGTCGTTCTTCTCTCTGTATTGTCTGCATTAGTATGTCAATACAAGAATAGTAATCCCTTCCTGGTTCCCTCTTTTTTTTTTTTTAATGTGGAAAATTTAACATTGCATTGCGCCTTCCAAAAATAGTACTTTAGCTTCCTTGAATCGTTAGTGTGTTCTCATGTTGTGTCTACGTTGTTATTTTCTCCTTTTTGTTTGACTCTAAACCCTCATGTTATATTGGTTTATTCCTGTCCCCTGCTGGTAGCAGAACAACAATGCAATCAAACAGATTTCTTCAGTGTTTTTTAAATGAGGAAAGTGTGTACCATACCGTCACAAATAGCTTCCATCAAATAGTAGTTTGGATTGGTTGACCTTTTTTTTTTTTTGTAAATGTCTGATAAAGACATTCTAAAAAAAATGAGCTGGCAGATTTGTTTTCTTTTTTTTCCCCTTGCCATCCTTCTCCTGTTAGTTTCAGGCAGGGTGGTGCGTGTTGCCACACTGCACGGTGTGGTTGCATAGATGTATATCCTCCAGTCCTTCTGTCGCATGCTTTCATTGTGGCTACGTCCACCTCTGGTTAAGATCATGCATGAGAAATTGGGTAAGATGATAAATGTATACCTTCCAAGATAAAACAGCAAACAAACAGATGGAGGGAGCGTCTCAAGGAGCACATTTGTGCCATCATCCTTGAGGTTTTTTTGCTTCTCAGCAGGACCATGGATTTTATTATTTAACTGAAAGCCGCTTTTGTATTTTGGGTAACATGCTCTGATTTCTCATCTCTAACAGTTTTAATGAGTTTCTCTTTTCTGTATGAAAGAATGCCTACAGAATCACTGGCAGTAATGCTGAATTAGGAAGAGCTGCTTTTTGTGTAATTTTAATGTTAACAAACAAACGGACCAAAACTACACTTCTCAATTTGAGTTGACATGTCCACTACTCACTTGTGGGTCAGATCCTCCTGTTTGCTGTGATGGAGACTGCTGCAGCTGTAACCCAGAAGAGAGGGAGGTAACCCTTTTTTAAGAGCTTGGAGAAGGAAATAATCCCCTATTTTTGGAAGATCTGGGGATGGGAAGTCTGAAAGTAGCAGCAAGAATTAAAGTACTAACAAAAGTCCTTAGCAAGATTTAGAAATAAAGGCAGAAGAAACATGAAATGAAACAGTGTTCAGGTTTGGTGTGGGCAGTCTCCTATATCTGCCTTTTTTTGCAACAGCAATATTAAATGACACCAACAGAGAAAAAAGGGAGAACGATGTTCACATGAGTTTGCTTTTGTGACATGGCTCAGAAAAGGCTGGATTAAGTCCATACTTTAATATTACAGCTTCAGTTTTCCTGTCACAGTCAACATGTTGGATAAGTGGACATGCCTCTCTAAGAGAAGAGAAATGTCACTGGTAAGATGATTATTTTAAGTAGCTAAAAACACACTAACCCATTAAATTGTCTCAATATCTAGAACTTCCATTTCAAATTTCACGGTAATTTATGTTATGAACTAACACTGTCATTTTTTTATAGACACTACAGAGACAAGTGTTGTCCATGTAACACAGCTGGAGAGAGATACCATTTTGGTGTGTTTGGATTGTAAGTTTTAGTATCAAATGAATAATGTGTATGCATGTACGTGCATACCGTCTGTCTTCAAATTAGGTCATATATTGAAGATTAATTCTTGGTTGACATCTATTTATTGTCTAGGCTGCATAAAAATAGTGAACCTGCAAGGCAGGTTAAAATCCAGCCGCAAACTGTCATCGGAGCTCACGTTTGACTTTCAGATTGAATCAATCGGTAAGTTGGATTTCATTATTAATATTGAATATCTGGATAGACTAGAGACCTGGGCAATCGCCAACCGTATGAAATTTGACAAGAGCAAGTGCTGGATTCTGCGCCTGAGACAGGGTAATCCTGGCTATACATATAAACTGGGGAATGAGAGGGTGGAGAGCAGCCCTGTGGAAAGAGATCTGAGGGTTTGGGTTGATGGCAAGCTGAGTACGAGTCAACACTGTGCCCTGGCAGCCAAAAGGGCCCTGGGTGGCATCAAGCACAGCATTGCGAGCTGGTCAAGGGAGGTGATTGTCCCACTCGACACCACAGTGATGTGGCCCCACCTCCAGTACTGTGTGAAGTTTGGGTGCCTCTGTAGAAGAAGGACATCAAGCTATTAGAGTGTGTTCGGAGGAGGGCAACTTCATCTTGAGGGCAAGACTTCCAAGGAGCAGTTGAGGTCACTTGGTTTGTTCAGGTTGGAGAAGAGAAGGCTGAGGGGTGCCCTCATTGCAGTCTACACCTTCCTCAAAGGGGGCAGCAGAGGGGAGAGGTGATGATCTCCTCTCTCTGGTGACCAGTGATAGGACACGAGGAAATGGTATGAACCTGCATCAGGGGAAGTTCAGATTAGACATTAGGAAAAGGTTCTTCACTCAGAGGGTGTTCCAGTCACTTGGAACGGGCTCCCCACAGAGGTGGTCACAGCACCAAGCCTGTCCAGAGTTGAAGGAGCGTCTGGATGCTGCTCTTAGTTATATGGCTTAGTTTTAGGTAGTCCTGTGAGGAGCAGGGTGTTGGACTTGATGATCCTTACAGGTCACTTCCAACTGGAGATGGTCTATGATTAAGTTGTTTACTGCTACAGTACAGAACCAGAGGTGCTAACTCAAGTCTTCGGCATTTGAGACAGTCTCATGCATTTCACTTTGTGCGAGAAGGCTCAGTGAAAAGTCCAGCACGCTATGTAACGTGCTTCCCCGGGAGCAGTTGGAATGGAGTAATAGGCAGTGAAGGCTGCAGGGTTAGGCTAAACGTCTTTGGAATACGATGGGAGACCCTCAGCTTCTAAAGGAATACCATAACAACCTACATAAACTCTGGATCACTCCTGGGTAACTCATTCTGCATGTGTGTTCACGCAGTCCATTTTTATAAAGCAGCTCAAAGACTAAATTATATGATACGTCACACTTTACATAAATTCTGTTTTCTTGTGAAGAACCTGAATGAATTAGATCTGTGAAACAGAAAGACAGAATACATTTTTTTGCCAGTTCTCCAATGTTTATGTACTTGGATTACATCACATGCTTTTGAAAGAGAGATGAGGAGGGATGTGTGCACAACTGGAGGGTAACACTAGAAGAGGAGGAATGGTGGGAACAAAAACAATAATGTGAATTTACTTCTGAGGAAAAGCTTTAAAGTTTCAGGCAGTTCAAATACAGGACAAAGAAACATGACGTTTATGGCTCCTGTTGATTAGGAATGGGGGGAAGGGAGGAGTACATGTACTTGAAGCTGCTCACTGTGGGACCTCTGCACGTGCTGTGGTCCTCTCCCTGCTTGTCACAACCGAGCTACGGGTGTCCTCTTCTGGCCCGTTCTCCAAAAACTCCACTCTCCTTCCTGCGTACCTGCCCACAGGCAGGATGCTGGATGCAGGCGGGACAGATCCTCCTTGGGGACCTACAACGTTTGCCCTCCCTTTGAGCAAGGCGCTAGACCCAGTTCCTTTCACACGCGTCAAATGCCGGTGTCCGCCACCGTGTTTGTGCCAAGGGAAGGCTGGGAAGTTGAGGGCTCTGTAAAGCCTTGCGTTGCTATTGCAGAAGGACCGTGTTAGCCAATGGTTGGTGGGAAAGGGAAAAACGTCACTCCGGTGTCCTAGCCTTGTAACTTGTCTGCTAAAATTCAATATATATTTTCTGCTAGTATTAGAATGAGGAGGGGCTTCCCGTTCAAAGGAAAGGACATGTTTAGGACTAGACAGAAGGACAATTTTAGAGCTTTTTCTTTTTTTAAACCCGGCTTATTTAAACAAATACATAGATGCAGCTACCTTTGAGGCAGGTTCAGAGATTCCTGTGAGACCTTTTACAGTCCGGGTGGGTGAAGGTGATACATTAAAACATACATGTGCAGATTTCAAAATTGTAGTCGTGCTTTTAAGGCCACAAGTGTCTGAGTTGACATTATGCCTGAAAACTGATTCCAGTGTTCTTTGTTACCAGTCTGTCTACAAGACAGCGTGTTAGCGTTCTGGAAACATGGCATGCAAGGAAGGAGTTTTAGATCAAATGAGGTGAGTACCGCATTTTATTCCAAATTCTAGCTTCTAATATAAGCCGAGTAGAGGATAAATGCATAATGCGTGGTCTGAAAAAAAGTAAAACCTTCCAGTAACTTCCTAGGTTAGACCTGGAAGCTGGAGTCTCATTCTAAGTGTTTCATAAGCTACAAACTAATTAGTGAAGCTGTACAAGAGTACTTGGTAGCTCTGGTCCGGTTGTTAGAGGACATGCCCCAGAAGGCTGCAGTGCAAGTGGAGGCTTTAAATTGTTTATTTAAAGCATAAGGAACACTATTGTCTTGCTTCATTACTGTCGAGCCAAAGCCAGCACCTAAATGAAGAGCAGAAGGCTCTTGTTGTCAGAAAGCAAGCCACCCCAAAATTTTTCTCTGTAGAACATCTCTAGGGTAAGCTCTCAGGCCTTTTTGATTTCCTTATCTCTCCTGGCTGTCCTACTAGCCACAGCTATTAAGAAAAAAAAAAAAAAAGAACAAAGTTATTTTCATCTATAATATGCAAAGCCTGCGTTACCAGGCCCAGATTCTGACCATATTTGTTACTTTTGGGGAATTTTATACTTCTTCCGTAGTAGGAAGCGGTTACACGGCACAAAAAGCTGACCAACCTAACTTTGCAGCTCGCTTGTTGTTGAAGACATTATTAGTTCAGATTCCCTAATCTAATGGCAGTGTGTCGATTTGAGCTGCTTGCAACGTTATTTCCTTGCACCATCGTGGCTTTCCCCAGTGGTTTGATTGAGTGGGAAGAACGAAACAGGGAACTGTGTGAATTCTGAGAGAAGACACTCAAAATTTGGGTCAAGATTGTGCAGACTCAGCCCCAAACCAAGCAGGAAGGAATTTTTCTTAACAAAGCAGGGAACTTCGTTGTTGAGAATTAAAATCCTCTTGCAAGTTCTGTGTGCCAGAAGTGAATTCGCTAGGTCAGCTAACGCTACTGGGATCTGGGAAGGAGAGAAGAATCTCTTCTTTCCTCAAAAATGTGAAATGAGACTGTGTAGAAAAGGAACTTTGTTAAACAGTGGACACACTGGAGGGACGGGATGCCATCCAGAGGGACCTGGACAGGCTGAAGAGGTAGCAACCTCATGAAGTTCAACAAAGCCAAGTGCAAGGTCCTGCATCTGGGTCGGGGCAATCCCATGCACAAATCCAGGCTGGGCAGAGAATAGATTGAGAACACCCCGAGGAGAAGGACTTGGGGGTGTTGGTGGATGAGAAGCTCAACATGAGCCAGCAACGTGCGCTGGCAGCCCAGAAAGCCACCCCCATCCTGGGCTGCATCAAAAGCAGTGTGGCCAGCAGGGCGAGGGAGGGCATTCTGTCCCTCTACTCCACTCTTGTGAGACTCCACCTGGAGTACTGCATCCAGGCTGAGAGAGTTGGGGGTGTTCAGCCTGGAGAAGAGAAGGCTCTGGGGAGACCTTACAGCAGCTTTCCAGTATCTGAAGGGGGCCTGCATGAAAGCTGGAGAGGGACTTTATACAAGGGCAGGTAGTGATAGGATGAGGGGGAGTGGCTTCAAACTGGAAGAGAGGAGATTTAGATTAGATATTAGGAAAAAAATTTTCACTGTGAGGGTGGTGAGACGCTGGAACAAATGGCCCCGAGAAGCTGTGGCTGCCCCATCCCTGGAGGTGTTCAAGGCCAGGTTGGATGGGGCTTGGAGCAACCTGGGCTGGTGGGAGGTGTCCCTGCCCAGGGCAGGGGGGTTGGAACGAGATGGTCTTTAAGGTCCCTTCCAACCTAAACCTTTCTATGAAACAGTGCTGCCTGTTCACAGCGTGACTTGATATCCTTTGGAGTATGCAGTGCTCTTCGGTTAACTTCATTGATTGACACGATGCTTTCGCGCTTTGGTATTTGTGTGATCATAAAGATGCATCACATAAGTACAACTCACCTGCAGTAAACAAAGATCTATTGCATTCGTCTGAAATGTCAAAATACTATGTTATCTTTTCACAATGGGCATAAGTACCAGAAATTAAATTAGACTATGTTTCTCTGTTAAGGTTTACAGAATATGAACTTACCGCATCGTTACTATGACTTGAATTTCAACAAAATGCATTTTGTGTGATTTACTGGACCTATTTTGGATATCTACTCTAGAGCGAGATGGACTGCACCCTACAGCTACCTATTTTGGTCGCAGCTGTACAGAGAATTGCACGGGTAGCTCGGACGCTGTGCAGTGCTGAGCCCTGCTGTCGTGCTTGCAGTTGCTACTAGAAGAATTCACATAATGTGGCAGGAATTCCAGAAAACTTAGATCTCATTTGAAAGTGATGGTTGCATTCAATTCTCAAGCTGATTTAAATCAGCAGTAAATGGGTAACATCAGTCGTAGTCAATTCTTTTCTCTAGGTTGATTTTAAAAACAAAAACACTTCTGCACTTAACGTGTAAACACTTGTCTTATTTTTATTGTCTAGATCACTCAAGAAATTTCTGATAATACGAGGATATTCAGGCTTCTGGGATCTGACAGGTATGAAGAGAACTGAACATGGCATGCTAAAATAGAAGAATGATGTATGTTCCTCCTACCTTGTAAAAGTTCTTTTTGCTTGTTTCTCATGATTCCATTTTTAGCCATCTTACTCATTCCTTTGTGTACATGTCTACTTTTCAGCCTTTCAAATTTATTTCTTTTCTTTAAAAAAAAAATATTCTTCTAGAAGTGTTAGTAGGCAAGGTCCTGTTTGGCTGCAGTCAGAGTCTCCAGGAGCGTCTTCCTTTTTGTGATGTAATTCTTTTATTTAACGTGGCAAAATCTTTACTTTCGGATGCTCTGCTGCAGTAGCTCATCAACATCTCCTTCTTGAGACAAATGCAAAAAATACTGAAAAATTTAAATCTCTCTCACTCCCAGAAGGGAACTCTCCCAGTTGTCTTTCCAATGTGACAGCTCAGGTCTTGAAAGAGCTCTTGATAATTCCTTGGCCTCTGTGTTGCGGAGCACTACCACCGTGTCTGTCCGACCCATCAGATACCAGCTTGCCGAGTCAGTAACTCCTATTTTAGGAGTGTCGCTGACTTCCTCAACTTTCTCTGCCCTGCTGTCGAACTTTGTACCTCTTTAACGGCCACGAAAACAGCAGATGTTCTGTTTTCTGGGGAGTGCATGCTGACATGACTGTTCCACCAGCAATGCGTTGATATGAAGTGCAAAGATAGGCTTTGTCTTTTGAGAATTGCCTGGGTCTTATACCATTCGCAGTAAACCCGCTCTCTTGCCGCATCTTGCAACTACCAAAAAAGCTTCATGGCAATCAAAGGCTTTCCCCATATTCTGCTTCTCCAAGCTCGCTGCACAGCCTTGTAATGACCCATAACATCTACAGCGGTGAAAGGTGCGGTATCGGCTACCTAACGGCAATTTTTTGCTGGCTGGGGGTTGAGGATTCTGCCTTCCGCACAACACCTGATAGCTTTTTTGTAAGTAATACTCATCTCTGACCTGCAGGTTTCTCTCTGTCCCAGTGCGGTACACGTGGGGCTCAGCTTTATTCTGTCATTTCTCTTGGTTGTTGAGAGACGGCATGGATCGATTTAAAAATGAGTCTGACTTCACAATGGAACGTAACACTGCAAATCATTGCCTTGGAAAAATAATGTCCTTTTCCCCAAATACGGTTCCATCTATTTCACTTGCACTAATAGTTCCCAAGTCTGAGACAACCTTTAAAGACTGCGCTGTAACAAACATTAATTCCAATTTCTTCTGCTACCATTTTGCTGGCAGCTGTGTCATATTTTGTGCTTGAGCTGTGAAACCTTTTTCCCATGACACATGTCACTTCCTGGGCAGTTTATAGGAACTGGGGTTCTGAGAAGGCAAAAAATTGACATCAGTCTGATAAGAGCTTGCACGTTGCTTTCTCCTGGCGAGCAGGGAATGGTTTGTGGCGGGAGGTTTCGTTCCCTTTGCGGAGCACATCGAGCAGAGAGTAGGTTTCCTGAGCGATAGTTCTGAAGCAAGCAGCCTCACCTTGGGGGAATGCACAACAGATGGATTTGAATTTCCCCCAATCTGCCTTCACTTCAGGGTGTTTGCAGAGGAGAATTCAATCATGAACATCCTAGTCCGTTCAGCAGTTTTGGCAGTTCTTGCCTGATGAAAAAAAAAATCTCAAACAGTTTGCTAATTTCTTGCCTTTGAAGAGAAGGGTCTGATCTAGGACATCCCTTATGGTCTTTGCAGTTGTTGTGTAGGTCCAGCTAACCCAGTCTCCTGTCTCCAATGCTGGCCAAAAGTGGGTGGCGAGAGAAGAGTAAGAGAGCAGATTCTGCATATCGCAATCCCTTTGCTTGAGGACTTTCTCAGCCTGCACGTCTTTGTCTCTGGGCCTTTCGGAGCTGGAGGAAGTTTCTGTGGATTTAGGTTATATGGGCTCAGGGAAAGACTAGAAATGCTCCCAGAAGAATCTGGTCATCTGTTATGTCCAATGGCAAAGGGCAGACTAACGACTTCCAGAACTGGAGTCTGGTTAATGGGTTAGCTTTGCAAAGCTCTGAGGAAGCAAAAGCCCAGGCTTTTGCTGGGGAGCGATGGACCCTCTTCGGAAGCCCCCGTGGAAAGGAGGAGAGGCAACAGGCATACATTGCAGCTGGGGAAATTCCAGCTGGATCAAAGAGGGGAAAATGTCATGGTGAGGGGGGTTGAACACTGCAGTAGGAGCCCCGAGAGGCTGTAGGAGATCCTTGAAGACCTTGCCTGGACGGAGACCCTGAACTAGCTTTGAAGTTGGCCTTACTTTGCGTAGCTTTTGGA